GGCCTGTAAGGAGCCGGAGGAAGTGCCTTTGGAGCCCCAGGCCCTTCTTGCGGAGAGAGCCGGTTTCGGCAGCTGCCTCGTGCGCCTCGGGCTCCCCTCCCATTCCTGCAGGAGTGCCTCTGGGCCCGGGGTGGGCCCGGGGAGGGCTCTCCGAGCCCCTTCCGGGGACCTCCTGCAGAGCCTCCGAGGCCGGTGGTGTGGGGCAGCTGGCCACTGTACAGCCCTCCCTGCCTTGGGGCAGCAGCCGGGCTGGCCTCTGGGGGACCGTGGCTTCCCGTAGCCCCCGAGGTCTTCTCAATAGGCACAGCAGTGCAGAGTTCCCTGGGGAGGGGGTGGGCAGAGGCCTCCGATCCCGTGGCGGCCCTGGAGGGTTCACCCAGCAAAGCCAGCTGGGGCCACCGAGCCACCGTGGCTGACTGGGCCTCTGGCCGGGCCTGGGTTGCCAACCTCCAGGCAGTGGCTGGCTGGAGAGCTCCTGCTTTTACAACAGATCTCCAGGCAGTAGAAATCGGTTCACCTGGAGGAAACGGCTGCTTTGGAAGGTAGATCCGATGGCATCATTCCCCATTTCAGTCCCCCCCCCCCGTCCCTTGTGCCAGGCCGGCTCTCATCAGGCCCAAAGGCCCTGGTGCCCCATGCCTTCGTTCCTGCCCCGTAGCTGCAGTTGGCTCTGCTGGGGAGGATGCGTCGCGCTGGTCAGCAGCAGTCAGTCCCTCTGCCCGCCCCCAAGGAAGCGCCTGGCCCTCCCTGCCGCACAGCCGTGAGAGGCTCACCTCCTGCAGGAGCGGAGGGTCAGACTCTTCCCTCCGGTTTGCTCCCAGCAGGGGACTCGGCAGGGGCCGGTCTGGACACGCCAGCCTTCGTGCCCAGAGAGGAGTCATATCTGCGGCCGAGCTGCCGTGCTTCCTGGCGCTCTCCTTCCCGTGGCCTTGGCATCTTGTGCAGCAGGAGTCGCTTTGGGCTGTGGCACAGGTTCAGCCGGCCCTCCTTGGGCGTGAGTGAGGCACATCCTTTCTGGGCGCTAAGAAAAGAGCCCTGCGTGTGGGGAGGGTATCTGATCACTTGGGGATTGGCCTTCACATGGGGTAAGATGACTAAGAGGAACATAACATAAGAACATAAGAGACGCCAATGTTGGATCAGGCCAAAGGCCCATCCAGTCCACCACTTTGTGTCACACAGTGGCCAGAAATACCAGGGGCCATCAGGAGGTCCACCAGTGGGGCCAGGACACTAGAAGCCCTCCCACTGCTGACCCCCCAAGCACCGAGAATACAGAGCATCACTTGCCCTGGAGCCCCTATCTATACCTTGTGGCTATTGCCCACTGATGGACCTCTGCTGTCCCACAGGAAAGGAGATCTGGGGTCAGGGCACACCTAGGCAGACCTTCCACTGGCTGTGGAGTCGTTCTGAGGCTCCCAGAGTCCATTTCCATTGAAAGGACGTGTCCAGCCTTTCTGTGTTGCAGAGGCCAACCTACAACATATGAGAATAAAATTCACGTCCGGGAGCAGCTTAGAGACCAGCAGCGTTTTCCGTGGTGTAAGTGTTCCTGCATGAGCCCCCGGCCCTTATATGCAGCTTTGAAGGTGGGAGGAGCATTGCAAAGAAGGGCCCGCTGGAGTCAGGATGAAGAGGTCCAGTGCAAAATGTTGTCAGCTGGGTTAGCGTGGGGAGATGTGCATAGAGGCGGGAAATGCAGAAGATCAGCATTTGTAATTAGAAGAATCCTCTGCCCCTCTTCAGCCCCCCTGGTGGGGGGGCAGTGTTCATTGTCCTGAGCTGGTTAATGAATCCTAGCTCAGCAATATCACATTGTAATCTCCCACAGAAGCTTGTGTAAGAGACCTGCCATTCTTAGGTCATCAATGGAGTGCCCTGGAAAATTAAAATCTCCCATCAAAGGGAGACTGTAATGAGGAACTGCTGCACTAGAATTCATCAACAAATTCAGGACAGTGGACGAACAAGGGCATGCCCACATTTTAATACTGACTGTTTTATATTCTGGCCCTTGGCAGAGAAGCACCATTCATGCTACTAGATATAAGTCGCTCGCTCTCTGCCCTTCCCTGTTGCCTCCTAAACCGCCTCCGCTTTGTTTGTGATGCCTTCTGCCCTTCCTGCCCCTGGAGTCCAAACTGACTCCTCACGTGCCAAGTGAACGGCTTTTCAGCTGCTGCTACAGTGTGCAAGTGTGAAAAGACAGAAAGGCAGCTCTGAATGCGTAAGGATCAGATTTCTGAATTGTGAAAAAGAGTTTTAAGTGCTTTCCTGCTGGATTCCTGTCAGCCAGAGGTTGACTGTCAGTGGCCTTACCATGTGCATCAGACTCCAGTCCAAGAACCGTGCTGCCTACTTGGGGTGGGGTGGGATGCGTGGAGAGTCCAAAGCAAATCCAAATCAGTGACACCTCTGCAAAGATTCCCAGCAGGCTGTCCAGTCTAGTCAAGGGCCGTTTGCTAAGTGCTCTCTGGTCAAGATGGATCCTTCTGTCGAGCCCCTGAGGGGATCTGCCTCTTTGCAGTGGGCGCCGGATCCCTCACAAAAATCGTGTCAGAAAAGAGCAAGGGTCCAGTAGCACCCTCAAGACTAACAAAATACGTGGCAGGGTCCTGAGCACATGGCAGAGGAAGCAGGGAACCAAAGGAGAGCGGTGGAAATTCTGAACATTTCCAAGCCGGGGTGTAACAAAGATATTCCCTCCCGCATCCAGTTAGAAGATTTGAACTAAACCACTTCTAAAGGCTTTGCCTACGCAAAACTGTTTAGCAGCAGAATTCACCGGGATCTGTCTATTAAAGAGTGATTGATAACGTTTAATTCTGATAATACAAAAGAGTAAGTGGATAAGTTCATTTCTACAAGTGTTCAGAGAGAACACCTGTAGAAACTTTTATCCGTTATTTCGATAAGAATAAGTTTTATTAGAAAGAATCTTTTTATTGAGCAAGACAGAAAAAAATATGGGCATGAAAAACTTAACCGTACAATTACTGTGAAGGTAAATGCTAAAATTATCAAAGTGTGCACAACTGTATTATAGCAAGTAAGTTTTAAAAGCGAATCAGGTTTCAGCTTTTTGTCTCGCTGCTTTTTGGGATTATGAAAAAGCCCAAGTTACCCACCAGGAAACCTCACCTGAGTTTCCTTCTGAGGCTTCCGTCAAGAGAAATCTGATTTCATAGAAGAATCACAGAATGTTAGAGGTGGAAGGGACCTCAGAGGTCATCCAGTCCAACCCCCTGCACTCCGCAGGAGCATAGCCGAAAGATGATGGCCCTGCAACATACCCGAAAGATGGTCGTCCAGCCTCCGCTTGTAAACGTCCAGCGAAGAAGCCTTCACCACCTCCCAAGGGAGTCTGTTCCACTGCTCAACCACTTTTACAGTTAGGAGGTTTCTCCTGCTATTTAGCCGGTATCGGCTCCCTTGTAATTTCCACCCATTAGATCTAGTCTTGCAATCCGGAGCAAGAGAAAATAGATCTGCTCCATCTTCTACATGACAGCCCTTCAGATACTTGAAGACTGCAATCGTGTGCCCTATAGGCCTTCTCTTTCCCAGGCTAAACGTACCCAACTCTTTCAGCCTTTCCTCGTAAGACTTGGATTCCAATCCTCTCACCATCCTGGTTGCCGTCTTCTGGACACGCTCAAGCTGGTCAATTTGCTTGACACCGAATCTTACCCTTATCTAAATCTGTTCTATCATAATCCTTTGATTATTATCTAGATAATTGATTGGTTCTTAACTAAAGATGAGATAATCAACACAAATGCAGATACGCCAGTCAGCAGGTGCCTATGAGTTGCATCTGATACAGAAAGATAAGAAGGCCAATCTCAACTCTTAACCACTATTAAAAAGCAGTTGATCTTCCTTTTCTACAACTGTTTCAACTAACTGTCCAAGATGAGAGTAACTTTAAGCAAACAGTTCATTGACAGTTGAAAAGTGCTTGAACTCTTGGTTCACTTGAAAACTCAGCAAGAAAAGCTTAGTGATGTCATCGCTACAGCTACAGGAGGGGTGGTTTTATCCCAAGCCTCTCCTTTGGGGGGAATTGAAATACATTTATTTATTTATTTATTTATATTTATTTTTCAAATTTATACCCCGCCCTCCCCAATAGGCTCAGGGCGGCTTGTAATACTTCCGTTCTTATCAAGCCTAAACTTAATTTTACTGCTTTAACAGCATAACCCATCGTTTATAACTTATTTATTTATTTCATTGGATTTATGAATCGCCCACCCTGCAAGCAGGCTCTGGGCAATTTACAACCTTTAAAACATTTGAAATACAATTAGCATATAATTAAAATAAATTATGATTTAAAAGCATTCCAGGTGGCATAATAGTCCTTTGTTGGCCACACCGCTGTCCCGCACCGCAGGGCAGGGCACATGGTGGGGGCCGTGGAAGAAAAAAGAGAGGGTGCCGGCCCTCACCCGCCTGTTGCTGCCCACCCGTCTCTGCCTCACAGGCCCTGCAGAGTGGCCTCAGACCCTGCGGGGCCCTGACGTTGTTTGGCCAGAGAGTCCCCCCCAGGCCGGGGCCGGGACTCCACGTATATCGTGGTTGTGCAACGTGGCCTGTGTTTGCCATTTAACAGCACAGCTGCCTTCGTTTTCTACAAGCAAAATTACAAATAGACATACATTGGGGGAGGGGTGCATACTGTACACTCCTGCGCCGTCTCTTGCCTGAGCCTGTTTCCTGCTTGTCTCCTGCTTGTTTCCAGCTTGGGAGATAAGAAAAATGAGTTTCGGGGGCAGCCTTGTGGGTCTGCAGTAAAACAGCCAGGCCCTCGAGTCCTGGAACAGCTTGGAGGCCCACATGAGTTCCAGGGTAGGAGCTTCTGAGAGCCAGAGCCCCCGTTGTGTCCTGCACCACCATGGCGTGGTGTTAAGAGCGGCGGACTCTAATCTGGAGAGCTGGGTTTGATTCCCCATTCCGCCTCCACATGAAGCTGCTGGGTGACTTTGGGCCAGTCAAAGTTCTCTCAGAGCTGTTCTCTCAAGGACAGTCCAAAAAAGAGCTCTCTCAGCCCCGCCTACCTCACAGGGTGTCTGTTGTGGGGAGGGGAAGGGAAGGAGATTGTAAGCCGCTCTGAGACTCCAAGTGAAGGGCGGGGGATAACTCCAATCTCCTCCTCCTCCTTCCTCTTCCTCTCTCTCCTCGCTCTCCAAATTATTCACTATACCCAGGAGTTATCATTAGCTAATGCTGCCGACTGTCTTAATATAAAAATCTTCATACTGTATATTCTGAGGGACTAAAACCTTGCTTCAAGAAACATTCCCCTTGTTCAAATAGAGAAAGGGTTTCACTGGAGTCTCCTCCTCTGCAGACGTCCTGTCCTCCCTCAGGGAGACTTGAGGAGGAGTCCTCCTCCCCGCGGGGCGCCTGCATGCAGAGGGGCTCTGCCGGGGAATCTCTCCTTCTCCTTCTCCTTCTCGCTGGACCTGGCTGTGCCTGAGCCCACAGGGGTGGCCAAGCTTGCATAACGTAAGAGCCACATGCAATAAAAGTCAGATGTTTGAGAGTTGCAAGACATGAACAGATATCACACACACATTTTTATTAAAAAATAGGCAAATTGGCTTTTTATTAAATGAGTCTGCCAAAAATAAAAACAAAAGGGATAAAAACAGATATTGATAATGATATTTGTTTGTCTAAGAGAGAGAGAGGTGGAAAGAAAGAATGAAAGAGGTGGAAAAAGAGAGAGAGAGAAACAAAGAAAGCAAATAGATGGGGGGAGGGAGGGAGGGAGGGAGGGAGAGGTGGAAAGAAAGCAACTTTAATTTTAAATGTGTCCTCCAAGCCCCCACCCGCTAAAGAGACAAATGCCTTCTCCAAGCCAGCCAGCGGGGGGGGGTAACTTTGAGAGCGCATTTAAAGTTGCTTTCTTTCTCTGCTCCCCTCCACCTCTGGCCTACGGGGGGGGGGCACTGGCAGGGGAAGGGCAGACCAACCAGGGAAACATGCCCCTCCCCTCCGCTCCCCCAGCCGCCCTGCCGGGAGCCACACAAGAGGTGTGGAAGAGCCACAATAGGTGTGAAAGAGCCACCATGTGGCTCCCAAGCGAGCGGCAGTTTGCCCGCCCCTGCCTCAGCCCCTTTGGGGTGGGGTCCCCTTTCTGCCACGTTCTCTCGGATGCCCTCAGGGCTTCTGCAGAGGTGACCTGTGGCTTAATGCATGGGGGTGTGTGGTAGGGACACACCTGTTCACGCAGGAACTGCCGCGGGCGGGATTGGCCTTGCCGAGACAACGGAGGCGAGTGGCCAGGATGGCGAAGAGAGGGGAGGCCGGCCCTTTCCTCGAGACAGGCCCTTTCTGTGGCTCTCCGTGTCTGAAAGGGGGGCCCAGAGTCCCGGGCCGGATCTCCCGAGGCTCAACTGGACAGGGGACTCCTCGAGGGCCCCCCCCCCAGTTTCCAGCCTCCTCCTGCTGCCTGGGTGATAGAGCGCACCCCCGGCCGCCTCTCGGGGCCCCCCCCCGCCTGCTGGGCTCAGCGCCTGCTGGGGGGGGGAGCGTGTGTGTTTGTGCCTGTCTCCCTGACCCCCCTCCCCCCTCTCTTCCCGGCAGGCGGCCTCCTCCGCCCTCAGCAGCCTGGGCCACGTCTACACGGCCATCGGCGACTACCCCAACGCTCTGGCCAGCCACAAGCAGTGCGTCCTCCTGGCCAAGCAGGGCAAGGACGACCTCTCCGAGGCGCGAGAGCTGGGCAACATGGGCGCCGTCTACATCGCCATGGGCGACTTCGAGAACGCGGTGGGCTCCCACGAGCAGCACCTGAAGATCGCCAAGGAGCTGGGCAACCGGCGGGAGGAGGCCCGGGCCTACAGCAACCTGGGCAGTGCCTACCACTACCGGCGCCACTTCGACAAGGCCATGTCCTACCACAACCACGTCCTGGCGCTGGCCCAGGAGCTGGGGGAGAAGGCCATCGAGATGCGGGCCTACGCCGGCCTGGGCCACGCCGCCCGCTGCCTGCAGGATCTGGAGAGGGCCAAGCAGTACCACGAGGAGCAGCTGTGCATCGCCGAGAGCCTGCAGGATCGGGCCGCCGAGGGGCGGGCCTCCTCCAATCTCGGTCAGTGGCGCTCTGTGGCTCTGTCTGTGTCCCTGTGTCTCTGGGGCAGGGGCGCTGGGCCACGCCGCCCGCTGCCTGCAGGATCTGGAGAGGGCCAAGCAGTACCACGAGGAGCAGCTGTGCATCGCCGAGAGCCTGCAGGATCGGGCCGCCGAGGGGCGGGCCTCCTCCAATCTCGGTCAGTGGCGCTCTGTGGCTCTGTCGCCAGCCTCTCTTGGTGCTTTTGCTGCACGGAGGACTTGTGGGGGGCCGCAGACATCTCTCTCTCTCTCTGTCTCTCTCTCTCTCTCTCTGGGGCACTTGGGGGCTGTGGAGTCAGGAAGCCCCCTTCTCCTAGCTCTGGGGATGAGGGGCCGTCTGCAGGCGGATTGGTGGGAGCTGGCCCCTCCCCACACACCTTGGCCCCTCCCCACCATAGGCCCTCCCGAGTCAGCAAGAGGGCGGGGCAGAGGCCCCGAGAGACAGCAGGAGAGGGGGAGTCGGCGCTTGACTTGGGCGCAGCACGCAGCCTCCCTGGTCCCCTCCGGAGGATTCGCAGAGCCTGCTGGTTTGGGCGGTCCAGTGCGAGGAGCTCTCCTGGCCCTCCCTGGCCTCACAGCCCACCCTCTACCCCCTTCGGCAGGCCTTTCGGACAGCAACCTGCCCTCCTGCCGTGTGGCCACAGAGGGCCCGAGTGCTCGGGAAGGGAGGCGCGGTGCTGGCTTCCTGCCTCTCAGTCAAGGTGGAAGTACAGTGCAAGGTCATGGAAGCACACGGTGTTTGCCGCAGCCGCGGGGGCCAAGCTGCCGGGCCCCTCCGCAGGGTCAGCAGGGGCTGCAGCTTCCCTTTCTCTCGACGGGGGGTGGGCAGCTCCAGAGTGGGAGGTGTCCTGGTCCTCTGCCTGGATCTGGGGCGGGGGGGGTGGAGGTGCCGCTTGTTTCTTGTCGCGCCAAACTGGGTGGTTGAGACTGGGAGAATGAAAGGTTTCCGTTGTCGCGGGTGCTGATCTGTTCCCAGCAGGCCCCTCAGCACGACGCGGCCGCTCACGCCCCGGCTGCTGGCTTGCTTGCTTGCTTGCTTGCAGGTATCATCCACCAGATGAAGGGGGAGTACGAGAAGGCCCTGCAGCTGCACAAGGTGCACCTGTCCATCGCCCAGGAGCTGAACGACTATGCGGCCCAGGGCCGGGCCTACGGCAACATGGGCAACGCCTACAACGCCCTGGGCCTCTTTGACCAGGCCGTCAAGTTCCACCGGCAGGAGCTGCAGATCTCCATGGAGGTGAACGACCGGGCCTCCCAGGCCTCCACGCACGGCAACCTGGCCGTGGCCTACCAGGCGCTCGGGGCGCACGACCGGGCCCTGCAGCACTACCAGAATCACCTCAACATTGCCCGGGAGCTGCGGGACATTCAGAGCGAAGCGCGGGCGCTGGGCAACCTGGGCAACTTCCACTCTTCTCGCGGGGAGTTTGCCCAGGCGGCCCCCTACTACGAGCAGTACCTACAGCTCTCCCCAGACCTGCAGGACATGGAGGGCGAGGGCAAGGTGTGCCACAACCTGGGCTATGCCCACTACTGCCTGGGCAACTACGAGGAGGCGGTGAAGTATTACGAGCAGGACCTGGCCCTGGCCACGGACCTGCGCGACAAGCTGAGTCAGGCCAAAGCCTACTGCAACCTGGGCTTGGCCTTCAAGGCCCTGGCCAACTTCGGCAAGGCAGAGGAGTGCCAGAAGTACCTCCTGTCCCTGGCCCAGTCGCTTGGCAATACCCAGGCCAAGTTCCGGGCCCTGGGCAACCTGGGCGACATCTCCGTCTGCAAGAAAGACCTCAGTGGCGCCATCCGGTTCTACGAGCAGCAGCTGAGCTTGGCCCACCAGGCCACGGACCGGAAGCTGGAGGCCAGCGCCTACGCCGCCCTGGGCTCTGCCTACCGACTGGTGCAGAAGTACGACAAGGCCGTGGGCTACCACACGCAAGAGCTGGAGGTGTACCAGGAGCTGGGCGAGGTGCCGGGGGAGTGCCGAGCCCACGGGCACTTGGCGGCGGTCTACATGTCCCTGGGCAAGTACACCGTGGCCTTCAAGTGCTACCAGGAGCAGCTGGAGCTGGCCCAGAAGCTGCGGGACCCCGGCACCGAGGCCCAGGTCTATGGCAACATGGGCATCACCAAGATGAACATGAGCGCCATGGAGGAGGCCATCGGCTACTTTGAGCAGCAGCTGGCCATGCTGCAGCAGCTGAGCGGGAGCGAGGCCGTGCTAGACCGGGGCCGGGCCTTCGGCCACCTGGGCGACTGCTACGAGGCGCTGGGGGACTTTGAGGAAGCCATCAAGTATTACGAGCAGTACCTGTCTGTGGCACAGAGCCTGAACCGCAAGCCGGACCAGGTGAAGGCTTACCGGGGCCTGGGTAATGGGCACAGGTAAGGGGTGCCCGGGAGGGAGGGAGGGAGGGGGCGGCCTCACTGGGCAGTCGGTGGCTGAGGAAGCAGGGCGAGGGTCTCCAGCAGTGCCCGGGGAGCAGAAGAGGGGGAACAAGGGAGTCATGGGGCTGCAGTGGATTGCTCTGGAGAGAGACGGGCGCGGGGATGCTGGGAGAGGGCCGGAGGGCGGAGTCCTCCTCCGCTGGGGTTGGGGGTCTCGGCGCTGCCCCGTCCAAAGTTGCACCCACCGGGGCAGGCGCGGGGAGCTGGCCCAGAAGACTCTGTGTCTGCGGAGGCCGTTAACGGCCGCGGCCGACCAGTGCGGCCAAAGACTGACCCGGGGCTTGTGGCTGCGTTCCGTGCAGGGCGATGGGGAGCTTGCAGCAGGCGCTGGTGTGCTTTGAGAAGAGGCTGGTGGTGGCCCACGAGCTCGGGGAGGCCTTGGAGAAAGCGCAGGCCTATGGGGAGCTGGGCGCGCTCCACAGCCAGCTGGGCAACTGTGAGCAGGCCGTCTCCTGCCTCGAGCGCCAGCTCAGCATCGCTCGGGAGATGAAGGACCAGGCCCTGGAGGGCAGCGCCGCCTGCGGCCTGGGCAGCGTCTACCAGCAGATGGGCGAGTTTGACACGGCCCTCCAGTACCACCAGCTGGACCTCCAGATCGCGGAGGAGACCGACAACCCGGCCTGCCAGGGGCGGGCCTACGGCAACCTCGGCCTGACCTACGAGGCCCTGGGCACCTTCGAGAGAGCCGTGGTGTACCAGGAGCAGCACCTCAGCCTGGCCGCCCAGATGAACGACCTGGTGGCCAAAACGGCCTCCTACAGCAGCCTGGGCCGGACGCACCACGCCCTGCAGAACTACTCCCAGGCGGTCATGTACCTGCAGGAAGGTGAGGGGCCACAGCAGCTCTGCGGGGCGGCGGCGGGGGGGGGAGCGGCCTGGGGAAGCAGGTTGGCCCGGGGCGGTGGGTCCCCCCCACAGGCCTTGGGAGCCAGCCCTGGAGTGTCCTGGTGCGTTCCAGGCCTGAGCAGGTTCCCTTGGAGCCACGACTGGGCAGTGGGCAGCACGGGGGTCCTGACCTGGCACAGCTTGCTCTGGGGCGGGGGCTTGTGGGGGCACGCCCTCCAGCCTGGCAAGGACTTGGGCCGCAGGCGCGGAGGGGGAAGGCCGCGCCGGAGAGAGGCGGGAGAAGCCGGCTGGAGTGGGCTGGCCTGAGAGAGGCCCGGGGCCCGGGGAGGCCCTCCTGCAGACTCAGTCTCCTCTCCGCTCTTGCAGGGCTGAGGCTGGCCGAGCAGCTGGGGCGCAGGGAAGATGAAGCCAAGATCCGGCACGGCCTCGGCCTCTCGCTCTGGGCCAGCGGGAACCTGGAGGAGGCGCAGCATCAGGTCTGTTGCGGCAGGAGAGGGGCAGCGGGGGCCCCCGGGGGGGTGCACGCATGCCTGTGCTTTGTGGGGCTGGCCGGTGACAGCTCAGGGTTCCCAGCCCCGGTGCTGAGCCAGCTGCACCCCAGGACACTAAACCAGGAGCCCCCCCCAAAAAACCTGACTCTCTCCTGCACCCCCCCCCCCAACAGCTCTACCGGGCCTCGGCCCTCTTTGAGACCATCCGGCACGAGGTGCAGCTGAGCACGGACTACAAGCTCTCGCTCTTCGACCTGCAGACGTCCTCCTACCAGGCCCTGCAGCGGGTGCTGGTCAGCTTGGGTAGGCGAGGGGGGCCCTCCGTGTCCCTCTGGGACTAGGCTGGGGGGCACCCCTCCCCCCGGCCCCTCTGCCACCTCCAGCCCTGGCCAGCAAGTGGTGGCACGGAGTGGGCCAGGCCAGTCTGTTGCTCCGTGCCCGGCTACTCTTGCCAGGGGGAGTGGGCAGTAGTTCAGCTTCTGGTGTACGGGGGGGGGGGAGCTTCTCCCAGCCCTCACCCCCGTCCCTCAGGCAGAGCACCGTGGCCAGGTCTTGTTCCCGGCAGGCGGTGCCCAGGGCCCCCCCACACACACACATGAGCCTGACGTGCAGATGCCTGGCTTTAGGGCACCACGACGAGGCGCTGGCGGTGGCGGAACGAGGCCGGACGAGAGCCTTCGCTGACCTGCTGGTGGAGCGGCAGACGGGGCCGCAGGAGTCCGACCCCTACTCCCCTGTGACCGTGGATCAAGTCCTGGAGACCGTCCACAGCCAGCGGGGGCTGGTCCTGTACTTCTCCCTGGCTGCGGGATACCTCTACAGCTGGCTCCTGGCACCGGGGGCAGGTAGGGCGCCGGGGCCCAGCTGGGGAGTGGGCCTTGTCACGGGGAGCCCCCTTTTGGGCATTCCTGTGGGCCTAAGGCAGGGTTTCTGGGGCCACCCACGCCCCCCCCCCCCCGTCATATGCCCGCAGGCAGGCAGGCAGGCAGGCACTCGCTGGGCTGGGCTGGGCTGGGCTGGGCTCCTTCATGCTGGGGATGAGAAGTCTTTGGGGGACAGGGCAATTCTCCCTCTCCAGCTGCCGAGGAACCCTGTGGGGCTCAGCTTCCGGCTGTTTTAGGGATTCACCCCGCTTGGCATGTGAGCCGCTGCCTCTGCTTCGTGTCTCTTGGGCAGCAGAGCACGCAAGCCACGTAAGGACACCTCTCTGGGCTTTCCCACCAAGCACTCCCATGCAGGTATTGAAGGGGATTCTACAGGGCCATCCAGGAGCCCGCCCGCCCCACCCACCCACCCCGGGAGGGGCCCGGGATGGGAGCCGGCCACCGAAGGGGTGGGCCCCCGGCTCCAGTGGGCCCCGCAAGGTGATCCCCGTGGCCTTGCGCCCGTCTCCTCTGTGCCGCCAGGGATCCTGAAGTTCCACGAGTGCTGCCTGAGTGACGGCCCAGCCGAGGACTCTGCAGACTTCCCGGAGTGTGGGGCGAACCTCCAAGCCATCACGAGCTCTGCTCTGGAGCAGCTCTGCTCCAGCGTGCGAGAGGCCCTGGGAGTCGAGTCCTACTACGCCCGGTAAGTGCCTTCCTCCGTGGCAGGCTTCCTTCTCTGCTTCACGCACCTTTCCCACCAGCAGCAGCCGGGGTCTCCCGCAAGCCACGGCAGGCCACTTCCTCCGGGTGTTGTTGTTGTTGTGTTGTGTGTGCAGACTCCGTGCCGAGCACGAGAGGTGACAGATGCCCAGAATAATCATTATTACCACCACCACCACCAGCAGCAGCAGCAGCCCGGGAAACATTAGAGGCAAGCAGTGTCTCCAGGTGTTTTGAAGCCAACAGGTCTCAGCTGATGCAGCCTTTGGGCCCTTGAGGACTTGAGCCCCGAGTCGCCAGCAAAGGGAGCTCATAAACACGAGAGACACGGGGGCCCACCTGGCACTCTCGCCTGCTTGCAGCTTCCTTGGCAGTGGTGGAGACTGACAGGCGCTTCACCCATTAAATCCTCTTCCCAGTAAGGCTGCGGGGGCCCACGGTTGTGTCACGGGCCTGGAATACAGGGAGCACCCGT